ATGTATGTATGTATGTATGTATGTATGTATCTATGTATCTATGTATCTATGTATCTATGTATCTATGTATATGTATATGATGTATATGTATATGTATATGTATCTGAGGAAGATGGCAAACCAGATCTCTCATAGGCCCCCAGATCTCTTCTTTCTGAGCTACCCTGTATATTACCAAGTAATTTGGAAAAGATAAACAATTCTTACGGCTTATAGAAAAAAAAGTGATGAAAATTCACTGCTATCAGCAAATGTTCCCATTCTCAAATACTACATTTCTGGATTCTCCTCTCCCCACCCACACCCCCCAGCAGGATTACTGATTGATCAGATTGCCAGATCCACAACAAATATGTATGGGTCAAATTCACAATTCGTCCCAGCTCCAACACAATGTTCAGGAGGCTGTAAACAGCAGTGGCCACCTCTACTATTTGTGTGAATCCTTGCCAGATGTCAGGCTTAGGTTGGCCAACTATGCACACCAAGATTTATGGAGTGAATCATAAGTGGCAGGGTTCAAACAATGTATTAAACTGCAAAAAATAGATTGAACAAATACAGAGGCTGTGTAAATGCAACACACTGAGCCAAAAGCAAATGAACACATGTTGGTTTTGTATGTTGTGCATATTAGACCAAGAAGCGGGGGGGGGGGAGTAGACCTGCTCTGACAAAGACCAACCTAACCTGGAAGTTAGATCTGGAACATCACAAATCAGTTGTGATGTTTTGGTTTGGATTGTACTTTTGGGAACCACTGAATTAATTTAGAATGGCATAATCCAAGGGGAAGTCAAAAACTTTGGATTGATAGATGTTGCACACACCCATTGTATTTCTTAAAAGTTCTAGTATGAGATTGTCTTTAGGCTGTTTAAGTCTTAACAAGTAGATCAGTTTTGGTTCAGTTACTCTAGTGACACCTGCTAGACATTTGCAAATGAGAACAAAATTAGCTGTTGGCATTCATGGTTGGCCAGTGGTGCGATTTTTCAGAAAAACTTTCAAAGAGACAAATGTGTAAGAAAGAAATGGTATTAATTTTTAGTGTCATTTTTTTTATTTTACACCCCTTTACTTTCCCTCACTTTCATAATGACTATAATTAAATGCCAAGGGAGGGATGTGCCCTTCTCTCACTCCCATTCTGTCCAGTTTGGAGTAATTTACTAGAAGGTTGCAAGGAAGACTACTCCTTTTGAGCCTATGTGTAGGTGCTCTAGATGTAGGAGATCCTTGTGAGATACTCTCTAGACCAGGGGTGTCAAACTCAATTTCATTGAGAGCCGCATCAGGGTTGTGTTTGTCTTCGGGTGGTGGTGGGCACGTGGCCAGGGTGGGCATGGCCAGCTCGATATCACTGGCTCTGTTTTCACTGGCAGAGGGCTGCAGGAGATCGTCACAGCTGAAAACGGAGGCCAGGTAGGACTTGGGCAGGCGGGACATGCACAGCCTCCCTGTTCTGACCCCCCTTCTCCATTCAGAAATGAAGGCCAAAAGCCATGTAACTCAAAAGGTTTCTTTTAATCAGACCCGGCTCTTGCTGGCTGCGAGTCCAAAA